CCAGAAATAGTTTTTTTGTTGAATTGTCAGGTCATCTTTGCAGCTATCATTGGTCATGAAAATATATCTTATAGGATTAAGAAAAAGTTGTAACCATTTTTCTTATCTCTGAAGCAGCAGAATCAGTGGAAATAAAAGTGAAAATAAACAGAGTATCAGTACAGTGAGCATCATTATAACAAAGCTTTTATTACAGAAGGAAGGGCAGTCTTATATTAAGGTTTTGTTACAAAAGAAACAATATCTTGCTTGTGTTATAAACAAGGAAATGTCTGTGGCAAAAATTGCTTTTATTTGTCTTTCTTATTTGTTTTATATTTTCTGGAGTCTTTTTATAGCCTGAAGACATAAAACATATTTTCCTAAAATTGTTGTTTTATGCTCTTGTATCTTATAGTCCAGAAAATATAAAGTAAAATGTACAGTATGGCCCAGAATAAAATAGCCCTTTATGCTATAAAATTACACTTACAGAGTCGTGGTGAAGAAACACTATTTTTTTAAGGCTTTCGAACTTCTCTTGAATAGTGTTATGAGGTACGACGTGCAGTACACATGTGGGTGTTCTCCAATAGGTCTTGTTCTTGTGGGTTTAACAGATGGTGCCATGAAATTTTAAGAAAATATGTTTTATGTCTTAAGGCTATAAAACATGCACATTTGTATGTTCATGTAGGTAGGCTTTTGATAGTGTGAAATTGAGAGAATATGAAGATTAGAATACAGTGAAACCTCTATCCATCATTCCCGGAACTATCATTTTCCCGGATGCATCGTCCGTTTTGTTCGGTCCCGAATACATCCCATATAAAATAATGTTACATTTTCCCGCTTCTATCGTTCCTCGAACTATCGTTTTATCGCATCAAAAATCTTAGTCCCGGCCCACAATTTTCCCGCAATGATCGTTTCTGAGAAATTAAAATGCTGGGTTTTGAGATAAATTAATACCGAAAGACGCACAATGTTTTTGGAATAAACAGTAGCGGTAACCTGTTATGTCGCCCAACCAGCACATTCTTTTGGAATGAGGGTCAGCGGTGCAGGGGTGATAGTTGGAGTGAATGGCGGTGCCCATTGTCAGAAATTTTACGATTTTAATTAGGGTGCACTCATATTTCGTTCCAGCGATGCCAGATGGCATGTGCAGTGTGAATTTCTTCACAAATGCTTTTATTACAAGTACAAAGGAAAGGCTGGCGGCACTTTTCATTCTTCTGGTTCATCTCGTTTCCAGTGGTTCAGTGTCTTCTAC